ACCCAGCATTTTTTAGAGAGTATAGTTAGGTTTAGGAGCAAGGGCATGGTTAGGGTTAGAATTATCGGTCATTTTTTTAATGATAAAAAATAATAATAATAATAATTTGTATAGAGCTTACCATATTAGATCAAAGCAAGCTTTTTACATGTAATTTTCAGTGAACTAGCACCCCTTGGCGGCCCACTGGGGTTAAAACTAGAACCCTCGTTGGAAAACTCCAATTTAGACGAGACAAGAAATAATTGTAATGTAACATTATATATAATAGAGCCCCAGTGCACTGAGATATGAGCCTCACAGTGTCAGAGGTGGAAGGGTTGTGTCACAATGCTCAGCTAGAGCTCAGATCCTGCGCTGCCAGATCTTCTCCTTCATTTCTTCTCGGCGTCTGCGCGTAACTACGCTTCTAAAAGGACTCGCTGGAGTGAATACATCGACGAGTATCCAGTGTGACTCATATGCCGTTCTACCGGAGCGACGGCTTATGGTTACTAGGATGCAGCTTTCTGGAAGACAATGCCTCAGGAAAGTGCAGGCACTCAACTAAAAGAGCTGCATGTTTGGAGCTCACGAGGAATATTTGCGACTGTAATAAACAGTGAACTAATGTTCACAGCCAAAGAGGAAGTACTGTTATTCTGTAACATAGAGGAGATGAGAAAAGTTTTGGAATTGTAATTGACACCGAGTCGCTCCTCAGGTAAGGTGACCAGGCTACTTACTGTGCCACATTCACATTTTAGCTTTTGAATTAGACATTTTTTCTTTCTTGGTATCATGGTAAGTCTTTTAGATGATAAACAGTTTGCATATTTTATTAAAATAACCCATCATTCTCATAAATATTTAATTAGGTATTCATTAAATAGACAAACTTAAAAAAATATATATATTTGAAGACTGGAGCCTGTACTGGATGACAACTATGATAGTGTGAATGAATATTAACATGAATACAACTTAGGCTTAATAATGACAAACATGTGCTTTAATATGATATTTTAAGCTTTGGAAATATATAAAGGCCTACATTTATTTCTAATTTTTATTATTAGTACACTCTAAAAAATGCTGGGTTAAACACAACCCAGTGCTGGGTAAAATAGGGACAAACCCAGCAATTGGGTTGTTTTGCTGGGTTACGGCTGGTAGCATTTTTTAGAGTGTAATTGATTATATTAACTTAATGTCAATGTTAATTGCATTAGCTGTACAGAATGGTTTGTCAGATACCTGACATACTTAACTGACTTCTTTAAATGAAGACAACTGAGTATATAGGCAAGTTAACAAAAATAAATAAATAAATAAACACTATGCATGCAAACGTATGTGGATGCTCCTCTCTAATTTATCTTTAGTTTAGCTTAGCTTTAGTTTCCGGGAATTTCTGTGAAAATGGTTACACTTTATTTTGATATTTTGCGACTTTGCAGCTCAATGCCAACTAGCAGTCATTAGTGTATTAGTGTCTGCTTAATATCTTATATCACTTTATTTTCATCTTCCCCCAACAAGAGATTCTACTGACTAACTTTGCAAGTGCATGTCAAATTATTCTACTAACCTATCAGTCAACTAATACTCTAATGAGAGTTAGAGGCAGAGTTACTTACAGTCAACAGAATTTCAGTAGGGGGCCATCAAAATAAAGAGTTACTGTGAAAATAAATCGACACCATTCAGTGACATTCTAGAGAATTTTGTGCTTCCAAGTTTGTGGCAACAGTTTGGAGAGGCTCCTTTTTTTTTTAAAGGTGGGGTAAGTGATTTCTGGTAGCAAATGTTGACATTTGAAATCGCCAAAACAAACACGCCCCTACCCCAAAAGGGTCTCGCCCCTATTTTGATAGCTCCGCCCCACACATACGTATGCAACCCAGACAACGATTAGTTCTGTGAAACAAAGCAAAACCAATGTTACACCGTGTCTACACCGGACGCGTGTGGCACAGCGCGACAAAATACTATAGAACTCATTATAATCAGTGATGCTGTCTACAGCATAGATATATATACATATCTATGGCTTACACTGGATGCGGTGCGGCACGACACGACAAATCCCCGACAGAAAACTGCTGCTGCGTTCTATTCATGACGTATTGACACAAATTTCAAATGATTTTCAACGGTCGCTTTGTCGTGTCCAGTGTACTAGACAGATTTTAGCTGTTGTGGCGCAGACACGGTGTTACTCACCTATCGAGAAGAAACAAAGCAATCTCAGCATCCGATCGCTGGCCTTCCGCTCTTTGAGTTCTCTCCAGCGCTGGAAAGCTGATCCGATATTTACACGGGTCCTACTTCTTGCCTTATTGCCTTAAGCCTTCGTTTGTTCCGCAGACGTTTTCCTCTTTTGTTTTTTTATCCGCCACCTCTATCTATCTTTCTGTCGCTCGGCTCGCTAATGTCCGTCCTGTGCACTGAACGCTCTCTCCTCCACATCATGAGTAGACACGCCCCTTACTGCTGACTGGCTACAAGTTTGTTTTGCTATTCGGGCCGAATCAGTTTTCTAAAGCGTTTTTGAAAAATCGCTTACCCCACCTTTAAGCATGACATTGAATGCCTTGTGCACAGACTGAGGTTCATATAGAAATAACTCCCTATTAATGGCCGTGGATTTTGAAATTAATAGCATGTGTGGAAGTGGTGTTCAGGTGTCTGTACTTTTGGCCATATACCGTAGTGTTTCTTCTTAAACTTTAATTCATATTTTGACCTTTTAGTTGTTCCACACCATACAGTATGACTCTGTGTGTTTGTTTGTTTGCAGTATGTAACTCTTCGTGCTCTCTGGGAGATGGATAAGTATGAGAAACTGGCTAAGATCGGCGAGGGCTCATACGGAGTGGTGTTCAAATGCAGACACAGGGACACCGGTCAGATAGTGGCCATTAAAAAATTTGTTGAGTCTGAGGATGACCCGGTCATCAAGAAGATCGCACTGAGAGAAATCCGCATGCTGAAGGTAGATGGTAGATATGGAGATGTTTGCTTATTGTAAATCCCCCAAACATTTACACGCTTATACATAAACATTTTCGTTTGTATGTATGTAGCAGCTGAAGCATGTGAATCTGGTGAACTTGCTTGAGGTCTTCAGGAGAAAGAGACGTCTTCATCTAGTCTTTGAGTTCTGTGAGCAAACTGTTCTAAATGAACTGGACAAACACCCCAGAGGGTCAGTCACATTTCCTTATTCTTTTTTCTTTTTTTATATATATATACTTTTAATATAAAGAATGGTACTTGACTCACAGCTGTGGCTGCCCAGCATTCTCTCTCTCTTTCCCAGAAGGCCTTTCAATCGTAACCTTAGCTGCTTCTCAAAACAAAGGAACTGGTTGCCAGTGACTACAGGCCCATGGTTAATGCAGCCCCTAGCAATATCCACAGTAGAATATTATTTTAATATAAAAAAAATAAAATAAAAAATTACAGGAAACATCAAAGAAATTCAGTAGTTTTTAGTTTTAAGATATTTCAAGCTTTTCTTGATTTTTCCCCTTCCCTCAAACTTTTCTTTTTCTTTTTTTTTTCTATTAAATTGTACATATTATTGAATATTTTATACTGTTGTAGTATTTGTTATATTGAATTAAAATATAAATATTTCTAAAGCTCCTTTTTTTTTGCAGTGTCTATTACAACAGAATAATGATTTTAAAATATAATTTGAGGGGTAATTTCTCAGCCAAAACTTATGAAATTATTTGTGATTCATTCGATTAATCGACACATCATGTAATTAGAATAAAAATTAAATAAAAAAATTTAATCACTCAACAGCCCTAACTTTATGTGACCCTGAACCACAAAACCAGTCTTAAGTGTCAATTTTTCAAAATTGAGATTTTTTTTTACATTAATTTGATCGAGATACAACTATTTGAAAATCTGGAATTTGAGGGTGCAAAAAAATCTAAATATTGAAAAAAAAAAAAAATCACCTTTAAATTTATGCAAATTAAGTTCTTAGCAATGCATATTACTAATCAGAAAATTAAGTTTTAATATATTTACAGTAGGACATTTACTAAATATCTTCATGGAACATGATCTTTACTTAATATCCTAATGATTTTTGGCATAAATGAAAAATCTATAATTTTGACCCATACAATGTATTGTTGGCTATTGCTACAAATATCCCCCAGCGACTTAACACTGCTTTTGTGCTCCAGGCTCACAAATTATGTTTATACTGTTATCTCTAAATCAAAATCATCTCAAAAATGTTTGCCTCTGTAATCTTCCATTCAAAAGTAATACTCGTCTCACCCTAGAAACAACTTTCTTTTCAGCTGACTTCACCAATCGCTCTTTCTTTGCAACCCCCTCCTCTCCTACGACCTGGAATGCACACTTTTCACAATGCAGTCTTCTTGATTCTTTAATGTTATATCATGCTGACTTCTATAGACTGTATCTAGCTGTTGTTTTTCCAAGCTCCTAAACTGGTCAGACCACAAAGGCTGTGGCTGCCCAGCATTCTCTCTCTCTTTCCCAGAAGGCCTTTCAATCGTAACCTTAGCTGCTTCTCAAAACAAAGGAACGGGTTGCCAGTGACTACAGGCTCATGGTTACTGCAGATATACGGGAGCTGCACTGATATTTAGAGAACTGTTGGTAGATCCTGCCAGCTATGCCAAAAATCTGTAGTTAGCAGAATCTATGAGGCTTGATATGAACATTTGTCCTTTTTTCTCTTTAGGGTTCCTGAGGCACAACTCAAGAGTATTGTGTGGCAAACTCTACAGGCCGTGAACTTCTGTCACAAACACAATGTCAGTATGTCCATCCTCTCTTTTCCTGTCTACCAGTGTGTGTCACTTATGAATGCTACAGACAACTGTGAAAAGTCACACTATTGAAGAACCTCATTTCTGGAATAAGGAGACAACTAACAATAAAAAATATCTTGGAATAAGAAATTTGCTAATCTCATGACATACAGCAGGCTCTCAGTTCGCATTAGTGGTGAGGATTTTTCAGTGTATTTTTGTGAGTAATGAAGGAGTCACTGAGTTACATGTAACCTCATAATGTGAATATTATGACATTTATATTGCAATTAAAAGTTAGCAATATTTTGATCAAAATGATGCAATTAAGCTCATAATCTCAGTAACCATAATTGTAATAAAACATGTGGCGTATGCCGATTTCAATAAACAGACATATAAACATTTTAATCGCATGTATTCCACCAAGTGCACCAAATACAAAAAAAATGAACTTCATTAAAATTTCTGAAGTTTTCCCTCCACTTGAATCACTGAAATCTATCAACAACTTGCTGCCACCAATCTCTGCTCGTCATCAATGGAAGCAGAAGTCAAATTTTGATATTCATTTGATATTCATTTGATACGCATTGCCGTCACATTTTGATATTTATTATGGTGCAGCATAACCATTCAATAGATCCATAGAAATGTGTTTTGCATTTGACGTACTGAAACAGTGGCCAGTAACGTACTCTATGCTAGTTCATCATTAGTTTTGAACACTGGGGTTTGTGGACAGTGGCGGTAAAAATAACCACAAAACGTGAGATGCGGGGCAGTGGGAATGGGAAACATGCAAGGTCTAGAGACATGTTTTTTTTTTAAAAAGTCAAACTTCTTTTAACTTGAGCATAACGCTGGATTATCAATGGAAAATAGCGCAGTGGAATGGAAAAATGCATTCTATGTGAATGGCCCTTTACATTTGATGAAGAGCGTACTAAGTATGGGTATGTGCAATATAATGCAATCCAAACAACCTACAACTGCCATCTTGGCATTGTCAGTTGTGCCACTTTCGTGCATTTACAAGTCCTCTCCTGTTGCCTCATGGGAAAGTGAAGTGTCCATTGAACGCACACTTCAGAATCTCAGTGGAAGTAGTAGGTCATCTGGGTATTATTTGGCTATAATTTATGAATACTGCAAATTTGGACTCTTATTGAGCTGTTTTGGTGCTACATTCTTGCTAGATCATTTCTATTACCTGTGTTAAGATGATTTTTTTGTTTTTTAGAAAGAAGATGTCTTTAAAAAATCCCTGCCTTATTATAGTGGGAGTTTTGTGTATGTATCTCTGACAGTGTCAGTCTTTGTGTGTGTATACCAGTGTATCCATCGGGACGTCAAACCGGAGAACATTCTTCTGACTAAGACCGGTGTGATCAAACTATGTGATTTTGGCTTTGCTCGCATCCTCAGTAAGTGTCTTTGCCCCACTCACTCACTCTCTAGCCATTTATGTGCATTTAGCATCTTCACTTCATTAATGACTTATTTATACTTCCTACCTATATCAGCTGTCATGCGTCCTGAGCTCACTTTCAGGGCAGCGTGAAGCCTCACAGGTGCAATCAGCCAATCGGGATCTGCTTACATGCATCCTCCTTGGGTTTCAGCATATTGTTACTATAGGCTAACACAAGGTCTATCCATCAGCATGTTGTAATCCTTTCTGTATGATGTACATGTAATTCTGAATCTACAGTATGTGTGCGTAGCTACTTATCCATGTTTTGGGGACACATTTGTATCCAGAAATTAGCTCTCGCAAAACCTCCTTTTGAGGATGTCCTCATTTGTAAAAATGGTGTAAAGTAAACAAAGTTGCAAAAATGCAGAAAGGTTTCTGTCAGGGTTAGGATATAGTATTTATAACTAGCTGCATATAAAAACAAAAAGTCTATGGAAGGTCCTCATTTAGATTTAGCTGTAAAAACGTGTGTTTTTGTGTGTGTGTGTGCTTGAAACAGCTGGTCCAGGTGATGATTATACTGATTATGTGGCAACACGATGGTACCGGGCCCCAGAGCTCTTGGTCGGAGATACTCAGTACGGTCCCCCAGTGGATGTGTGGGCCCTCGGTTGTGTCTTTGCCGAACTACTTTCTGGAAATCCTCTTTGGCCGGGACGTTCTGACGTGGATCAGCTGCACCTCATACGACAAACATTGGGTACTAAATGTAAAAGAAAGGAAGAAGTTTGAATGTTGAAGGTTACATACAAAAGGGTCCAAAAGTCTGAGACCGCTTAAAACGTGGAATTTAAAATCCAATTGAAATCTAGTAATTAACAAAAGAAATAATTAAAGCAAATATATTTCAAAAGATTTGAATAATTAGGAACCGTCCTGTTTACATATGTTATCATCTAATTGGTGGAAGCCCATTTCTGCCACAGAATTTAACAAATAAATAAGGTAATTGCGACTTTTTATATAAGGGGGAAAAAATACTATTTTCATTCAAGTTTATTTCTCGGAATTATGACATCATAATGCAATTGTGACTTTATATTTGAGAAACAATTATCAGAACAGCAAGTTTATATCACAAATTTCTTCGAAAAAAGTCAGAATTGTGAAAAGTAAACTCGCAATTGTGAGAAAAGAAGTCAGGATTGTGAGATAAAAAGTCACAATTACTTTTCAGTGGCAGAAAAAAGCTTCCATAGTCAGCAGTTGTAGCCACTACAATTTATTTCTGCCATTTGACTGTGATATATTGTAAAGATTTAATCATAATTGAATCAAATGGCAGATAATTATTATCCATTGAACTTCACCACTTTAATTAAGAGCATATTTCATTTCAGTTGTATGACAAAATTTTGGTCTAAATCTCATAAAAAAAACAGCTATACACTGACTCTTGACCTCTGAACTTTGACCCCGATAGGTGACTTGATCCCACGGCATCAGCAGGTGTTCCGCTCCAATGTCTTCTTTAGTGGAGTCAGCATCCCTGAGCCTGATATCATGGTAGCACAAATTCTCACAAAAGTACACAGCTACTTGTAAAAAACATCAGTTTGGAATGTAACTGAATTTGATTTTATTGTTGTAGGAGCCACTAGAGAAGAGGTTCCATGGTGTTTCTCCTCATGCTATTACTGTGATGAAGGTGAGATGTCGATACAGGATATTATATACAGGGCCGCTGATGGCCAAATGGGTGCCCTAATCAGAATTGTATTGTTGTGCCCCCTCCCTCAAATATTATCGGAAAAAAACCCCACCTAGTATAGGGGTCAAAATAGAACTTTAAGAAAATATAAAAGTAAATAAATTGTAATTAAATTGTATTATTTATAAATTACAATTGTAGCTATAGACAGTGACCTATGGCTATGATTTTATTAATACAGTTTGATATTATTGTCTCAAGCATTCAGAAATCACACTATAAAACCATGGTTAATATTTGTAAGGGTTGTGATGTCCACGTGTTTTTGTTGAAGAAATTATAGAGACCGGTAGCATTTCTATTGCAAAAAAGGTGGCCAAAAATTAAAGTGGATATTTAAATTTTGCAGGCATTTGTAATAATATGTAATACATTTTGTATTACATTATGTATTTTAACAGTGTTATTCAATGAAACCGTATGCTTATTATTAATTAACCAATCATTATTGCCTCATTGTTTTTATATAATGCTTTTTAAGTCATGGAAACTATTAAGGCAGATGCGTTGGTGATGGTGAAAATCTTACCTACATTAAAACACGTTATTAATGTCAACAGCCAAACATGTTTCAAAGGATTATAAACATAAGTTACCTGAAAGAGATGCACGGGCTTCATCTTGGTTTTTTTTATTTTCTTTTTCTTTTCTCTACACCGGACTGATGATGTTCATATTTACTTTTTATATATGTATAACTTAATTTTAATATAGGACAAAAGTTTATTACTTTATTTACTGATTATATAACTCTCCCATGCCACATGCCACAGACAGACGCCAGTGATAATCTTCACATCTAGATTTAAACATGGTGTTCTCACAATGCTGTCAAACAAGTAGAGCATGGCACTAGCAACGTCTATATCAGGAAATCGATTTCCAAGAAATTTATGAACTGATAAAATGCATACCTTCAGCCATGTCTATATAGCAACCAGACACGATTTCATTGAGATATACAAAAAAAGGTACAATTTTTAAATCAGTAAGCCTTTTGGAGATCACAGATTTCTTTACAAATGGATTATATTAAACTCTGTTAAGCTAAAAATGATTTATATGCGTTTTCATTTCAAGTTAATATATTGAACTGTTTACACAGATTTCTTAATTATCCTGTGGCTCCTTCTGGTGGACAACATCAGTATTCATACAAATGGCTTTGATATAAATTATATAAATGGCTGATATAAATGGCAGATTTTTTAGAAGTCCCCCAGGCATCAGAATTAGTTATATTTGGCATGTTTCGACATTGCATTCACAACAAGAAGTAATTATGGGCCACATGCACAAAAATATTTGCTAATATCAATACACTGATTAAACAAATCAAAAATCTTTTGAAAAAAAAAAAAAAGTTCTCAGGGGCATCTCGGGTTGGTGGATACCCAATTTTGTGCAAATCAGACAAATTACAGAGGATAAGTAGGATTTTTAAATAACTCAAAATGTCGGAAACTTTTGACTTTGCATTTGGCAGAAATAGGTCAATTCATGAAAATATGTGATGCCATAAAACTAATTATCTTTTCAATGCTTGGATATACATTTATTTTTGCCTGCATGGTGTAGAATCACTTCGTGCAAAGTCTGGTGAAGATTGGGTTAGGTTAGGAAACCGTCCTAACCTTCCCAGCCCGTCCCCCCCGTTACGGCACCCCTGACTATGGTTCCTGAAATATGAACTGAAAAGCAAATTACTTTATCATAGCACCACGTAGTGGCATGGATGTTTGTGGGTGGGCCTGAGTAGTGGAATTTCTGACCTTCCCACAAGTTTGTTGTCTCTAGTAGAGGTGTATAGTAACGACTTGCAAATCTTTACCCGAGGGGGGCTTTACACAAGTGCTGGTGTTTTCGGACTCCAGTTAAATATATGGCTGATCAAAGCTTGAGTAAATACAGCTGTACTCTACTTTATAATTAGAAAACCGAAAACCTGGAGCATGTGAATAGTTCAAATCAAAACTACAGCAGGACAGTTCGACACTGAAATGAATAGTTCACCCAAAATTGAAAATTCTGTCATCAATTACTCACTCTCATGTCGTTCCAAACCCGTAAGACCTTCGGAACACAAATTAAGAAATTTTTTCATGAAATTCGAGAGCTCTCTGACCCTCCCATAGACAGCAAGGATATTACCACGATCAAGGCACAGAAACGTAGCAAGAACATCAGTAAAATATTCCATGTGGCAATGGGTTCAACCGTAATTTTACAAAGCTACGAGAATACTTTTTGTGCTCAAAGAAAACAAAAATAACGTCTCAGGTTACGCATGTAACCATGGTTCCCCGAGAAGGGGAACGAGACGCTGCGTCCCCTAGAGGGCGCTTTTGGGGAATGTCTTTGGCATGACCAGTGTCTGAAGCATGAGTCTAAACACGACAATGAACTTGACATTGGCAGGCGGCAGCCTATGACGTCACGACAGGTGTGACTGAGAGTATAAAAGGGCACCTGTAAAAGGCGTCATCCACTTCTTGCCTGAAGGAGACGTGCAGGAATTCCTGAAGAGTGGCAAAGGGACGCATCATGTCGGAACCATGGTTACATGCGTAACCTGAGACGGTCCCTTTCGAATGGGAACTCCATGCTGCGTCCCCTAGAGGGCGCTTTTGATGAACGGAATACCCATGCCACCATGCTGAAGGGATGAGTGCCTAAATGGCTGAACCAAGTCAAAGACTCAGAGGAGTCCTCACCCCTGTACCAGCAGCACCATAGACCGAAGCTTCTCAAGAACGGAGGCCTTCACAGGAAAAAGGAAGTCTTAACTATGCTCTTATTGAGGCCAGCATCCAAGAAAGCTCACAGAGAGCCTAGCAATCAGAGCCAACTGGCCCGTGAAGCTCTACAGAGTGGAGGCCTAAATACAACATGCCTGGCAACACTCGATTCTACCTAGCCAATACCTAGCCAAGCTTTAGGAGCAGAGGCCTCAGCATGACGACTTTCTAAAACGAGAGGAGGCCTAACTACGCCCCACGCTAAAGACTGACAAAGGAGGAGGCTGTAAGGAGGCTGACAAAAAGCCTACAACTCTAGAGCCCTACAGGGGCCTCAAATATAGACTCTAGCCCGGCTCTCTCCAACAGCTTATCAGCATTCTTGGCCCGAGTCCGACCCGAGCCCGTCTTTTTTTCCCTTCTCTCAAAACAGCTTGTACTACTGTTTTAGCAATTAAATTAGTTCAGTTTTGTATGTAATGGCAAAGTGACAACCAAGCAGCCAGCGGCAGACATGTGAGTTGATCATAGCCTATATTTGATCAATTTAGCCTTCTCAAATCATCATGACTCGCCTAAGTAAAATCTATAGATATAAAACAGTTCAAGCATATATCACAATTTTAGTTTAAATGTTTAACCTAGATAAATGTGCGCTATTAGGCGCATGTCCAATCATTTGTGCGGAGAGTGGAAGCTAAAGCGTGCTTTGCAGGACAAGGAGTCGCCAGCGCGATCACTAATAACAGTGGAAACAACTTAAAATACACCGTCATTTTTGCTCATAAAGGTAAGAATAATACATAATTCGAAACTGTAAAGGTCTATATTTGTAAAGGGTCATATTTATTTGTGTGCACCCACAATATCAACAAAACTTTGTGCTTTTGTAAAACAAAGAAAACAAACAGGATGCGCTTTGCCGTCACAAATGAACCGAAACTCAGCGAATACATGCCACACAGACATGATAATATATATATTTATAGAAAGCTTTAAATTCTCTACTTTAACGAAATAATTCAAATCGAAAACAAAAACTCTTTCATTAATCCTTAAAGATGCATTTCTCTCTAAAGGCGCATCCAATGAGGAGATGGCGAGTCACGATCGTCAACATCTTTGCGACACTTACTCAGAATACACTAGTTTATTAATAAATAATTCAAATCTCCTTAGTATTTTCCCCTGACACATTCATAAATGTTAATTACTTTTCCATTTCGAAAGGGAACTATTTTATTCAAAAATTCTTCTCCTCGTCATCCCATCTCCTGCGACACCATTGCGGACCGTGTAACACGACACATGTGCTCGCTTCCGCTTCATGTAAATGCCGCATACGCATGGTTCTACTGCTTACGTTGAACATGCACATGCGTCGTTTACGTGAAGCGGAAGCAAGCACATACGTCGTGATCTTATGTCCACAATGGCGGCATGCCACAGGAGACAGGATGAGGAGAAGAATTGTTGAAGAAAGTCTTTTTTTTTCTTTGCGCACAAAAAGTATTCTCGTAGCTTCATAAAATTACAGTTGAACCCCTGATGTCACATGGACTATTTTACTGATGTCTTTGCTACGTTTCTGTGCCTTGATTGTGGTAGGACCCTTGCTGTCTATGAGTAGAGGGTCAGAGAGCTCTCAGATTTCATCAAAAATATCTTAATTTGTGTTCCGAAGTTGAACGAAGGCCTCACGGGTTTGGAACAACATGAGGGTGAGTAATTAATGACAGAATTTTCATTTTTGGGTTAACTATCCCTTTAAGCACAATAGACATAACAAGCAATGCAAAAAAATTAAATAAATAAATAACTGTCTGACTAATCACTTCTGTTAGTCAGTGGAAAAGCAAGATCTCCAGGAACACAATTGGGGACCCCTGTGATTTAACATTATTACCACTGAAGTATGATTGGCTGCTTTTTATGTAAAAATGTATAAGCTTATATGTTAATTTTTTTACTACTAAGTAGTGCTGACAGAGACTTCTCGGGCTCTTTTAGGACATGGTGATGATTGTGTCAAGTTAATAATGTTATGCTAATGTATTTATAAAATACAGCATTTTTAACAAAATTCTAAATGGCCAACATGTTAAGATCTAAAGGATGTATACGTTTCGTTGTTATATATTAAAATAACGTTTTAACAATATGTCAAAACCATCTCTTTATTGAAATAAGATGCTAAATAAAATGCTAAAATAAGTTTTTTAATCTAGAAGATCCATAAAAAGGCCACAGTGCATTGTTTTTATTTGTAGGCTAGTTGTGTAGTAATACAGGTGGATGTCATACATAAGGTCTGAAGAAATGTATGTGTTTGTGTGTGCGTCTCTATAGTCCTGCCTAGTAATGGATCCATCTGGTAGGTTGTCATGTGAAGAGCTTTTAGAGCTGCCATACTTCCAGGAAGATGGGGGAACAGGATGGGGCAGAGAAACTGATCGTCTCCCAAGACGCTATGAGAAAGGCACAAGACGCAGAGCTCCCGCGGTATGAACCTACACTGAAGAAAAATAATAGTAATAGCAAGAAATGGAAAATAAATTCTGAGACTCAAGTTTAAGACACTCACTTAAGTCACACAAATTGACTTGTATTCCAAATTAGTAACAATGCAAGTCTGCAGGTTTAGAAGGAGATTTATTTCCTCACATATGACAAAAACTAAAGAAAAGAAAGTTTAACATGACACCAAATGTTCTTTGAGAATGTGTGGTCATTTGCTCATGCAACTCTTCAACATGATCACAATAAACTGGTTTAATGTTCTAAGGTTTAAAGATGTTGATGATCAGCCAAATACAGCACACAAACTTATATTTGACACATTAAGGGACAGATTTACTTAAAGCTTGCACCAGCACAAACCCTCTTTTAACATTAAAAAAAAGACTGTCAGGACTATTACCAAAGACATGCAGTGAAATTTTCAATAAAAAGGCATAGACATAGTTATTTTTGTGGCTAACCTTATTGCATATGCATGTCCCTTTTAGAAGCAAAATTTAGGGGAAGTATTTAAAAAAAAAAAATAATAATAATAATTGTACAACATGATTTGCAAAGGCTTGCAGTAGTGCTTTTATGGGATCTCTGCCTCATGCTAATTTACCGGTTGCAGAGTAAAGGATCGAAACACAGCAATATAGATATTTACTCAAAAACAAAAACTACCAACAACTGCCAAATACACAACGAGAAGTGACCAGTGAATTGAAGCACACGGAAACATTAGGGATTAATGGAGATAAATAACTAGACACAAGTGTAAAACATCTCCTCCGGGGTGGCAATGGAGGTCTGGTGCGTCGAGGCGGAGCAGGGGCGAAGAGGAGACAAGGGCTTGGTGGTCCAGGGTGAAGGCAGTGGGACTGAGGACCAAGGTGGAAGGAGCCCAAATGGAACCAGAGGGATGGAGTGACAAGGTGCAGCCAGAAGACTGGAAGACCTTGGTGGAGGCAGACGACTGACCAAGGCAGAGCCGGAGGGACGAGGAAGTCCAGTGGATTCCAAGGTCTGATGGACCCTGGTGAAGCTGAGGGAGCATGGGGCCAAGGAAAAGCTGAAGAGTTGGAAGGCCGAGGTGAGTCCAGGGCTCGGCGGCCTGAGGTGGAGCAAGGAGATTATCTTTCCAGGCAAAGCTGGAGTCTGGAAGGTCCGAGGTGAATTCCCATAGGAGGGTTGTTTTTGAGGAGGAGCGGAGGAATTGAAGGGAAACAGCAGAGATGGGGCTGAGGAACTGGCTGAGTTTGAGAGAGAATTCCTCTCCTACTGCGGCAGGCTCAGGCATCGCTGGGCTGGTGGTAATGGTTGGAGTGCTAATTTCTTCCTCACTCTTGCACATGCACAGCAATGTAGGTAGTTATTCCTCAAAACGCAGACCACTAATGAACACAAAAACCTCTAAATACACAATGAGAACAGACCAGTGAACTGAACAAAACACAGGCCTTAAATACACAGGGAAACACTAATCGAGTTAACTAGACACAGGTGCAACACATGAGGGCAAATAAAAAACCATGGCAACTAATGAATAGGAATGAAGGACACATGAACTAAAGTCTGGGACATACTAGACCAGGGATCCTCAAATCTGGCCCACGAGATCCACTTTCCTGCAGAGTTTAGCTCTAACCCTAATCAAACACACCTGAGCAAGCTAATCAATATCTTCAGGATCATTAGAAAATCACAGGTAGGTGAGTTTGATCAGGGTTGGAGCTAAACTCTGCAGCGCATTGGCCCTCCAGGGCAAGATTTGAGGAACCCTGTACTAGACCATTTTTCAAATGTAATTATTTTTAACCGATTTTAAAACTGGTGGAGACCACAGACTTAAGGACAGTTTCAACCGACATTTAACATTATAATCCTCCAAACGCACACAATACACGATTTGGCCTGACCGCGAGACCATACATCTGCAGACTGCACGTTTCCATTTACACTTGGCCACATAAATGAGTAGTCGCAAAATGGATATAAATCCGATCTTCAATTCCCACACTATATTTTAATTTAATGGAGTTTACGTCAACTAAATCAAAAGATAAACGCTGCATTTTATTAATTATCAGCTTATTTCAAGATCAAAGACCGCAGTAGGAGAGCGTGCAGCATCAGCACTGGAAAGATACGTTTGTATTACTACTTTTAATGAAGATGATTGTGTGTTGACCGTCTGCCACTTACTTTCAGTTTAATTCATGGCAGTTTGTGCGACGACTTGCTGAAGAAATGCTCAGCGGCGATGCGTGTTGCATTAGCACAGTAATATAGGACTATAATGTCATAGCCTACATACATTTATTATTTTAACATTTTGGGAGGAGTAAAATTTACATATGTGGTTTCAGCCAGATGCATTTACACTTGTCCAGTTTCGTCTGGACGGCCCAGACCACCTCCTGAAGTGGTTTGAGCGATCAGATTTATATCCATCTCGAATGCGTTTTGGAGGGCATTTACACCTGGTCTTTTCACGATTGGATAGCCATCCGATCAGACAAAACGCATGAAGTGGCCAGGTGTAAACAGCCCCTTAGTAGGTAATCAGTCTAACAAAGAAAACCACGCAAAAGATTCTCAGTCAAACTCAAAAGCCATAATATGCATGAATTAGGGAAACGTTTACTGATGTTACATATAGTTATAAAAACAGTCACCGCACAAGTTAAAAGTGCATATTAAGATTTTAGAACTGCAGCAGAGAAACTGAATTTGAAATTGGGTTTCTAACCTTATTATCAGGACCACAAAAAAAAAAACGTGCTGTGTAAATAAGTTCAGACGGCTCATTTGCATAACGAGATGATTGACAGCTGTTGCACAATTACAATTTTAGATCGACAAACTGTAATGTATAAGATTTCTATTGAAACTGAAAGCATAAATCCAGGCTATCCACTGCCGTTTTCAAAGCACAATCGGTGCGTTCCAAACGGGATATATCACCCTCCGAAGGGCACTTCGGAGCGGAAAAAATCATGGCCGCCATATTGAAGGGTCGTTCCAAACCGAAGTGCTCAAAACTGGCCACTTCAAAAGGGCCCTTCGGAATGAAGGATTTCGAAGGGTACAACTGATGGACACTTCGGGCCCCCATGATCCTTTGCACTGATTCGTTCCATGATGACGGCGCCTCCGTGTGGGCACGGGCTGATGACGCAGAAGGCCACTTCAAGAAACAGTTGTTTGGTCCCAAACACCCTTGAACCCTTAAAAGCTCTCACTCCGGAGGGTAAACCCTTTGAAGGGATTAGGGTGTAACATTTCATTTACTGATGCACTTCACTCTGCAACGCGGCAACCCGCCAAAATAAAAGTTAGCTGATTTTAAGTTTGAAAATTATGAAAATTCAATAAAAAAGTAAATATCAACATCTAATTTTTAAGTTTACTGTAAAATTATTGTGTTTTCATTTTATACTCTCGCTTTAGTTTAAGATCTAATAGTATTATCACACTTTATTATTTTGATTATTATTTTATTTAAAAAAAACTAAAACAAAAGGGCAATAATATTATTATCACTATTATTAATTATTTTATATTTATATTTAATGGGTCACACTGTGTGCAGTGTGAGGACCAAACCAAATCTCCAGGTGCTTTTATGAGAACCAGGCTGAAACATGTATGTGCACCCCTGCTAATTATACATGTTGCTCACTTAACATTAGTTGGTTATTAATTGAGAGAAATTTTGTTTTCCAGCCTCAATACTTCCCCCAGCTGACCAATAGTAACATCTCACCAGCACCTGAAATGAAGAATAAAAACAGACACAAACATGACCATCATCTACCCAACATCTGACCTTGGGACTGGTGCAAAGGTGTTTGGTAGGGCAAATATGTTTTCTGTGGAACGAGTTAATGCATTTATTGCAAGCAACAGAGGATAGCAGAAATGCTTTTAGATAGAAGTACTGACAATGTAATATTACTGAAATATCGCTATTTTAACACAATGTATTCAAACTATTAAAGTTGACAGAGTCCTTGAATCTGATATTCTGCATGTACAGTGGCCGGAAAAAGTATTTTAACACTGAAACTGCACAAAGGTTATATATTATATACACAATTATAAATTTAATGGAGCAAAAAGTTCTAAGTGTATTAAGAGTATTATAAATTAGTGTCAAAAACATCTACTTCATGTCTGTTGAGCAAAATGGTATGTTTGACAGTTGTTTAAAGGCCACTAAACAAAGGCTCAGAAAAGATCTACCATCTTTTGTTTGCGGATTCCACTTGATTGTTATCTAATGCAGTGACATTCAGATGTTAAGTGTGATTTAAGTGTCAAAATGTCTCTAAATGTCTTTTTGCGGCCACTGTATGAAGGCGAGAGATGGAAGGTAAAACTGGACAGAAAGAGTTACGATAAACTTGACAGTATGAATGAAGAATTGTCAGTGTGCTTTAATGTACTGTAAGATAGTATCAGTTCTGTGTGCCATTAAGAAAATAATATATCTGCCCTGTTCTAGTGTTATGGATAAATTAAAGTTTTTTGTTTGTTTGTTTTTCTTGTCAATTTCCTGTTGATTTTCCTTCTAGAAAATGACCTAATCAAACTGTAAAAGGAGTGACAGCACTCCTTATGCCTTTTGTTGTTGTGTCAATTATTAGCGCATCCCATCAAATTTTCATGTGAATTTCTCTTATGCTTAAGCTATTAAGGACATTAGTAGGTTATATGGCGGGCATTCATATTCAAAAATCACTAACGGAACTTTGCAAAGTAAATGACTTAGGATACATTCAATATGGGTTAAATTGTGGCAGTGGTTGTCTGAAAATCAAACATTCAGTCTGGTAAGATTTCCCATCATAAATTATTGATACATTAAAATGATTAATTTGAGCTACATCTTTGTTTTGCATGATACACAATTTTGGTATCACAACAAGTTCCGAACCCCTTACAAAGATAACACAGAAACTTTAAGGACTATTCTCAGATGCTTAGCTTACAGTAACATACAATTCAAATTAAAGTTAAAATATTAACAGATGCAAATAATTTAGGCATAAAAAGATATGACACAGAGGAAAACAAGGCTGCTTCAGCTCTTTCAGTGGGTCAGATATGCATACAGGTTTCCAGTCATTGATATTCCGGTTGAGACAGTGATCCGTAGCCCTCCTGACACTTGGCTTGACTGATCGTCTCCAGCTCTTTTATCAGATTACCGGATTGAGTGACGTATGGTCCACTGTGTTCTGGCACTGCGCTGACCTAAACTCATCAGAGTAATTCCTATAGCTTCATTAGAACTATTACATCATTACTTTCTAGTTCTTGTTTTATTAAATTTCTTGTTGTCTTTGGCAGACATACAGAAGTTAGAAAGAGTTCTCTCCTCCGGACCCTTTACACAATGTGTTTTGTTACACCTGGGAGTCAAAACAGGCATAAATGGATAGTTCACCCAAAAATCATTGCCAATAATTACTCACCTTCATGTCGTTCCAAACTAGTAAGACCTTCGTTCATATTTGGAACACAAATTAAGATATTTATGATAAAATCCGAGAGCTCTCTGACCCTGCATAGACAGCAAGGGTCCTACCATGATCAAGGCTCAGAAACGTAGCAAGGACATCGGTAAAGTAGTCCATGTGACATCAGGAGTTCAACAGTAATTTTACGAAGCTACAAGAATACTTTTTGCGCGCAAAGAAAACAAAAATAACTTTATTCAACAATTCTTCTCCTCCTCACCCCTTATGCTGTGGCGAAACTTTATGCTAAGTATCTATCATTTTGACGATAGTGGTCCTGACAGAAATAACTTTATTCAACAATTCTTCTCCTCCTCACCCCTTATGCTGTGGCACACTGCTATTGTGGACAGAGTATCACGATGCATGCGCTTGCTTCCGCTTCATATATACACGCATGTGTAGTTTACATGAAGCGGAAGCAAGCGCATGCGTCATCATACTGGTGTTAGTGAGGTGGATTTTTTATCAGGTCATATCAGCGATACAGAAAATCACCAAAGAACGCCACGCAAATACCCACTTTGCAGAAGACCACTCGACGAGGGAGACGTTGTGGTAAGAGGAGACGCTCGACAAACAGCTTAGAAGAGGGGAACCCGCCTAAAGACAATCTGATCTTTAACCTAACAGGTCAAGAAATACATCCACAAGAAATAAGTCTTTTGAATAAAGGCCTAAGCTTTGCTCCATCTAAAGCTACAGATCCTTTTGTAGGATCTTAAGATTGAAATGCTTGTACAAAAATGACAGAGTAGATAAACAAAATGTACATAATCATGATGGTAGAGCTAAATTTAAGCCCAAAAGCATGTTCTGTCCATTTGTTTCTAATCCATCTATAGAAATATATTGTAGGTTTCTGGAAAGGGATGTGACTAATTTAATTGAGCAGTCATCATCTTAGAAAATAAAGTCAAATTTGACTCATTCTGAAAATTAAGCTCTTGATCAACTGTGTAGAAACAAAGACACTGTAATCAAACCTGCAGACAAAGGAGCTGGCTTGGTAATCATGCCTCGAACGCTTTACAACCAGGAGGCTTTTCGTCAATAAGAAAATACTATCTTGTTATCAAGCTCTACCATCAGATCCAACCAGTCAGTTCCAAAGGGAGATAAAGACATTTCTTGGTCAATCCAACAGGACGACCTATAGTAGCAGGCAGTATCGGTGCTCCCTAGATGCAGAGTATGCAGTTTGCGTAGGGCACCAACTCCCAGGGGGGCACCATCCCAGTTGCTCAAAAAAAAAAGTTTTATATTAATATCCAAATTAACATATACATAATTAAAAATATAAACAAACACACACATATATATGATAACGCAGTAGGATAAGGGGCGGTGCGAAGATGGCAGGTTGAGCAGACACGTTTCTTTAAAGCTTGTGACAGTTGTAGTAAATCAGCTCAACAGGGAAATATTTATGACTAATTATAACTGGTTATGATTAATAATAAATATTTAGATTATATCTTCGAATTAACTGTAGCAGAATCAATATTACAATTATTTGGTCTGTCCGTCCACCGAGCAGACAATATAATCATTTATCAATTCAAGGAAAGATTATTTTCCTGGCCAAGGAAGAATAACTGTCCTCCTTTATGCAGTGCTAGCAGTAATTTAGCAAATTTAGCAAGGGTTCAAAACATTCATTGACTTTGAATTGTGAGCAGCAAACAGAGACAATCAGTTGTGAATATAAGGGATTTAAAAAATGAAACTATATCTAACATATAACTAAGCAAAACACATATATATATATATATATATATATATATACAGAATGAAACAAAGTAAGGAAAAGAGAGAGAATAGAAAAGAATGGCAGTATTTCACATCACTTAACCACAACCTCTGAAAAATCATCAAAGAATCCAAAAATCACCTTAAAAAGGGACTGAAACTTAAACACGCATCTAAATAATTTGAAGCGGTTACTTGCATTGGTTTCGATTGCTGAAAAAGAGTCCGGATGCGGTAGATAACGGAGCTCTTTTGATGAGTTCGTGAGGAGTCAGCTGGAAGTTTTTACTTCTGGTTCTTCTGAAGAAGAAGTCCACAGCGACTAACGTTACTTGAAAGTAAAAACTGCCGGAAAATAAAACTCAAGAGGAAGGTCTTGAGAGTCCTGAAAGGTGTTGTCTCAAACGAAGAAGAAGTTTTCTGAGCAAAGTTATTCTGGGCTGATCGCTTTTGAGAATTTCTATTCTGTGTGTGCTGGCCAATGAGAGACATGGATTTTGAGCGGGAGAATCGTCTTTGTCTCTTGTTTTATGGCTCATTTGCATGCTTTATGGCCGGTCTGGAACATCCGTAGTTTTAACCCAAAATATCGTGCGAGTCATATGATGCGTTTCACAATCACATACTATACGTCATTGTCCGAGAAATGAAGAAC